ATTGAAGAGGAGTTACATAATATCGACGTCAGCGACAATGCTAAGCCGAAAGTTTCACAGGGCAATGTCGGCAAATTGGTGAAAGGGTTGGTTTGAAACTGAAATTGAGAGGGGTTGGACGTCGCCGTTACCTAACATCAGAAGGGCAGAGGCGGGATACGACGCTTCTGGCCTGTCGTGAACCCTGGCTGGAGCCACCGGTGTACTTGGCAGAGAGTGCTTTTCATCTCCGTAAATGGACCGGCGGTAAAGCAATTTTGGTACATTACCTATACCTGCATCAACCCCTGCCGCGCAACGCTCCCCGCCTTTTCTGACAGACTTCCCCGGCCACCCCCGTCGTCTTTCATCTTGCATCATCCGATTCTCGATCGCGGGGAACGTTTGATTTCGATGGGAAACGTCGTACAGGCATTAAAGAGAAGGGGTTGGTCGGCCAAAACGTTGAAACAAAGAAGCGATTTCGCGAACGTATCCATCCGGTGCGGGGCGTCGACAGCCTTTTTGTAAAGGAGGGTAATTGTGTCCTTTTCAGAAGTTAAAACCACTCTCGTCGCGGCGTTGATCGAGCGTTTGCAGCAAGCTGAGAGGAAATTTTCTGAAACGACGATCGATCTGCGTTGACGGAACGTATTTTTAATCCATTCTTTTCGAGCTGGCTGATTCGTTCTGTTGTACATGTATAATCGTAACTACGCTTTTGATCTTTCAAGTACAGCTCATACAGGGGATGCCATGAGTAATAAAAATTTCTAATGAAAATGGTCGTTCTTTCTGCTACACTTTAAATGGATTTCAGAATCACGGCTATCATGAAACGCTCTACGTCTAGCAGTAGTACGTGTAATTTCTGGGAACATGTTCGCATGAAAATGAAGAGGCACGTTAATAGAGCGTAAGAGTCGGTTTTATTGTTAAAGAGTGTACAAATGCATATTGGAGTCGTTCGGGTGGGCCTCTAATTTCGCACAGGTATCCAATTCAAAAATCTCGTCCGCAACGGAATCGCTGTTTAATTGNGAACATAAGTGGATTGAAAAAATGATCTTTCGTTCGGTTGATGTAAGTGTGCAGTAATACCATGTCACACGAAGTTCGTTTATTAGAAACGTCGAATAATTGACATATCCCGAGTGATATGAATGATAAAAGCCGTGTACCGGGCCGGCACTTGTTTGTGATTAGCTTGATTGAAGAGGAGTTACATAATATCGACGTCAGCGACAATGCTAAGCCGAAAGTTTCACAGGGCAATGTCGGCAAATTGGTGAAAGGGTTGGTTTGAAACTGAAATTGAGAGGGGTTGGACGTCGCCGTTACCTAACATCAGAAGGGCAGAGGCGGGATACGACGCTTCTGGCCTGTCGTGAACCCTGGCTGGAGCCACCGGTGTACTTGGCAGAGAGTGCTTTTCATCTCCGTAAATGGACCGGCGGTAAAGCAATTTTGGTACATTACCTATACCTGCATCAACCCCTGCCGCGCAACGCTCCCCGCCTTTTCTGACAGACTTCCCCGGCCACCCCCGTCGTCTTTCATCTTGCATCATCCGATTCTCGATCGCGGGGAACGTTTGATTTCGATGGGAAACGTCGTACAGGCATTAAAGAGAAGGGGTTGGTCGGCCAAAACGTTGAAACAAAGAAGCGATTTCGCGAACGTATCCATCCGGTGCGGGGCGTCGACAGCCTTTTTGTAAAGGAGGGTAATTGTGTCCTTTTCAGAAGTTAAAACCACTCTCGTCGCGGCGTTGATCGAGCGTTTGCAGCAAGCTGAGAGGAAATTTTCTGAAACGACGATCGATCTGCGTTGACGGAACGTATTTTTAATCCATTCTTTTCGAGCTGGCTGATTCGTTCTGTTGTACATGTATAATCGTAACTACGCTTTTGATCTTTCAAGTACAGCTCATACAGGGGATGCCATGAGTAATAAAAATTTCTAATGAAAATGGTCGTTCTTTCTGCTACACTTTAAATGGATTTCAGAATCACGGCTATCATGAAACGCTCTACGTCTAGCAGTAGTACGTGTAATTTCTGGGAACATGTTCGCATGAAAATGAAGAGGCACGTTAATAGAGCGTAAGAGTCGGTTTTATTGTTAAAGAGTGTACAAATGCATATTGGAGTCGTTCGGGTGGGCCTCTAATTTCGCACAGGTATCCAATTCAAAAATCTCGTCCGCAACGGAATCGCTGTTTAATTGTCGGCGACCCGTGAAATCCGTACGATCCCCGCTGACCTAATTCGCGGGCCGCCACGTTAGATTTACCGCAACGAACAAGGAGGACAGAGGAAGCTAGTTGCAAACAGAAAGAGAGAGAGGGAGAGAGAGGGAGATCGTACAGAGAGAATTGGCTCGTAGCTAGGAAGTATCAACGTTTAATCCGGTCTGATTGCATTCGGCCGTGCGACGATTTTACGGGCGTACTCAAAACGACCGAGCAAACACATTTTCCTTTCCGTGAATTTTTTTTCCTCCATCCTGCAATCACGACCGGGACGAGCAAATATACGTAAACGCGTGTCTCTCGTTTGCTCCAGCCTCGGTTGAGCAACCAGTTTCATCGGGACGGCTAATTCTTGTCCACCGGTTAAAAAAGAGTCGCGAAAAACACGCTTACCGTCGTCTCCGGGAAGGCTTAACGAATCAATCGAGGAATCGTGCGCGCTGGAAAAAGTAACCAACATTCGAAGAAAGATTCTTTGACATTTAAACGAAACCGTCGAATGAAGAACAAATTGGACGATTAGTCAACTCTATTTTTAATCGAATCATAATTATTACAAAATAGTATTTTCGTTTATCATCGTGGTATACAAAGGACCGTTTATGAAGGAGCGAGATTGTTACCGATTCGTGATGGAGTAAAAAACAGGAAATGACGGCTAGACACGGAGTAACTTTCCTCCGCACACTTTACAGCCGTGAAGAAGGGAGGTTGACGCTTTTGTCGCGCTGCACAGACGCGTGGAAAAGAAGGGGGTGGGTTTGCGACGGTATTGTCGTGGCTTGTACTGTGTCCTTCAACCCTTACCGTCGCTGCCATTCCGATAACAAACGTCACGGTTTGAAGGCCTGCCCAGGGCTTTCCCAGCCGGTGAACAGCCTCTTTAAAGAGTAATTACGCCTACACTTGGTGTATCCTGCGCCCCGTAATATTCTTCATCGTTTTTTCAGATGAGCTATTTTCATCGTTCGCTCTTTAACGTTTTTTTTCCTTTCTGCATCTTTTTTTCTTCTATTCTTTGTTTCTTTTATTATTCAGGCCCACCCCGCCTCCGCGAAAGTACAATTTCTAGATTGTCGTGCCGCGACTGCGAAACAATGAGCCTATGGACGAACGTGACGCAACGGTTTATGTTCAGTCGCTTTTTGTCTCCCGAAGAGGAGATTTGTCGCTTTTGTCGCGTCGCGCAGACGCGTGGAAAAAGGAAGAGGATGCGAACGATAGGCCTACCATTGTTGCTTCGCGTCATGCATTGCCGTCCTGATAACGAAAAGATACCTTTTATTATCGTTCACAAGTTGATTTTAGTTACTTATTAACAAACACTTCTCGTAGAATTAGTCTTTCCAAGAATTATCACGATATAATTTAAGAATTTTGAACGTGCACGAATATGAAAACATTAATTGAATGCAGTTGCTCCGTCCAAAGAACTTCCCACACCCTCGAAACTTGGGCAGCCGCGATTAACAAGCCTGTTCTCACCTTTTCGATCACGGTCACGCGAAATCCGAGCCACGAGAACAATAACTTCCGGGAACCGTGATTCGGACAATGGCCACGCTGATTAGTCGCCTCCCTTTCGTCGCTCCGTTCAAGGGGTGTGAATTTCCCGCAGGGCAGTCCGCTTGAAGGGTTTGCGGTGGCGTCGCTATTTCGCGATGCCGAAGAGCCCGTGAAGGAGGAACGCTTACACGGGAATGTGGTTTCTCCATCGGCCCCCGGGGGATCCGGAATCTCCCTTCAAGATAGCCAGGCCCTCGTCGACTCGATGGTCATGACTTTGCACCCCTTGTCAGAAATACCCCGGGTACGCGTTACGCGTGCCTCTCGCATCTTCGCGAGGGATCCTGCCTTTTCTTCGACTCGGCCCTTCCGGCGAGCTCGTATTGAGGTTACCTCATGCAAGGCCGCGTTTTATTATCGTCCCCGATTTGATGCCCCAAGGAGAGGTTTGTAAGGAGTAGTTTAAATTCTTGGGGAGTTTGACTGGATTTAGGACGGATTTCCTACGAATTTATGAAATAGAAGGGTGAATAACTTTTCTAAAAAATAAATTATACATTATTGTTTTATTTACTTTTTCACTATGAAAAAGATAGTAATCTGTAGTTTTGTACATCAGTTTGTTTTAAAATCCGGATTAAATGGATTAATGATTGTATAATAAGATTTAAAGTTTCGACTTCTTTATCCCCTTACAATAAAAGGCTGATCTTGATTCAGGGAAGACGGATCATAGTGAAATCACTTTATCCTCGTTTGGCCTGCCGTACAAAATGTAGAACGCATTAATTAAAGTGTAGCGATGATGTCAGAACGGTGGCGGCGGTGGCGTTGGCGAGTGTCGTAGCTCAGAGGGGTTTACAACCCCTGTAAATTCGTACGCCGGGAACAATGGATGCTTTCTCTCCGCAGGCCGTGCAGGGAATTTAAACCCATCTGATTTCGAGGCTCTCGGCGTGCGTTATCAGATCGACATGTAAAGCAATGAAACCGACTTTATTCCCTACATTATCTTACATTACCCTTTTCCTATTGTCGTTAAGAAGCGAGCAGAAACGATAAAGGCATCAACCTCGAAACGCGTTGACGAACGATGCGTTGTTACACTCTCTTCTATAAGGACGTTAGTAATCTTAATATTTAATAGATAATATGCTCATTTTTTACATTTAATGATGGAACATTATATTATTCAGAAATTAGTTTATTATATATAGCTTTTTCAAAAGCACAACTGATGGAAGTTTGCCTATTGTTATAGAATTTCAGGAAAAGGACAATCTGCGAGTCAAATTCCATCTCCTTTCATCAAGCAACCTGGATATCTCATTCCAGGATCGCGATGCGTCTGGAATTCATCGGGCGCCAGCATTGTTCCATTATTAGAGCGTCGTCGGTAGCGATCAGCCGGTAAATCAACGGCGGAGAACGGGTGCGCGCGGTGCGTAACAGAAATTAAACGACCGATTCGCAGATTTAAGATCCCCGGGAGCGATTGACGACGCGATAATCGGTCACGCAACCGGAGATCACAATAGCCTCCGGGTGGCGGGAATAAATGAACTGGCTCTGATACGAGAAAGGGGGTGAAAGGAAGCCGAGCCGGGGCGAGATAGGAATAAGCGAACGTGCACTGCGTTGTCGTTCTTTAGCGCGAGAACGCGGACCAGATTTCTACCCTCCAGTCAAAAGGGTTTATGGCGCGGACAGAAATCCCGCAGACAATGGCTGAATTAATTCCTTAAGATCTAATCGGCCTGTAATGATCTTGATCTTAGCCACCCGCCAAAGATGGAATTAGTTCAAGTATGCGAGGTCGTCCAGATTACTGCCGTTCGTCACGTAATTAACGACGTTTCGACCGATGACCCAAGATCCAAGGCCCGATCTTACCAATCCCCTATTTCTTGTCCCCTTGTGCAATCAGGTGGAAGATCGAAATCGCTCTAGGAACTCTTAACGATTCGAGTAAATAAAATATCTTACTTCGCATTCGAATTTAATCCACTTGGCAGTCGAAGTCTTTTAATCCAAGTTTAAAAATACTCGGACCATAATTGTTTTACACGATTTTCGAGCACGTGATGAATTAAATTATTCTATCACCGGTTCCGACTATTATTGATCCGTTGCGTTTATTTATGAACAATTATTTGTATCTCAGAAATGCTGCTGATCGTGATAACATGATCGAAACATTAAATTCATAAACGTTTGAAATATCCATAGAAATTATGACATAGTTCCAATAATTTTAATATAACTAAAAGTATTTATTGAATAGTGTATGAAATCAGTTTCTTGATAGCTGAAATAGAAAATTTAAATGAACCGTAGCGATAGATCGAAACGATTCTGCGTTTCCAACAGTGCTCGTTTCTTTCCATCGCATCGAGTCTCGTCGAGGGAAAAACGAGAGAGTTAATATAGATCTCCATGTATCCCGCGGTCCCATCTTGTCTTATCTGGTCTCTTATGGTTGGACGGTCGTTGTTCAGCAGGACATATCATTTTACCCTGTGGCTCAGAGGCAGCTCGCGGCCATAGTAGCGGCACTGCCATGCTGTGGCGAGGGCAGTTAAAAGGGATCCGAGGAAAAATAATAACGGAGCCCCGGACTTCTTCGAGTCTGGAACACAGAACCACACTCCGACGGACATTAGTGTGATAGCGAACGCGGGCCAATCTCGTCTCTCTTACCGCCGGATCGCGTACCGACCATTCTTGTCGCCGTCCAAGCAAGGATTATATCGTTTTCGAGGACTCCGGTCTGGCATTTTGATGTCATGAGACCAGCCAGACTTCATTGGACGTATCATGGATACAGCAGTGTGACAGTAACCTCGCTCCGGGAAGTTGAAATCGTTTTGTGAGGATTCTATTTCATACCGTTGCGAGGAACTGGTTAGAGACAATTCTCTCATTTTAGATACAACGTTATTTATTATTATTTGTTCGAAGTAAAGAGTCGCATTCTGAAAACCTATTGTCAGTTTACATAAATTTAGAGTTATTCAATTCCATCGAAGGTTTTATACAAGTCTTTTTATTCACGTTTCGATTATTGTAATTACAGGAACGTGGCATCTGTACGTGCTTGAAAAAACCAGCAGAGCTCGCTGAACAAGATCGGAAATCGAATCATAAATCAGGTGACAACCTAGTTTCGGATTCTTCAAAGAGAATTTTATTTCCCCGTTGCGTCGTCGGGGACTGCAGGGACGGGTTTATGGTAATTCAACGTGGTACAAGAAAATTGGCTAGACAAGTGGGTCGATCTTCGACGGTGGAGCTTATCCACGTTGAATCGCGCGACCTATTCTGTTTTGATCGACCCGATAGAGAGTTCTTCGCCGCTTGTAGGTGACAGGCGATTACTCCGCGCCAGCTGATGGTCATTCATTGGCCAAAGAGGATCATTGTCGTTTAGGCAGTAGTGCAATCGAAGCGACTGTCCGGGTTCCTGTCCCTCGACCCTCGCCTATAATCATCCTTCGAACCCTGTTGTTTGACTACAAACGTTCCGGCTGGTTCGTTGATTTGATGGGTCGACGATAACAGTCTCTGTTACCTAGAGTGTTTCTAAAAATTTCACGTGAATTAAGCAAATGAATCCATGAAAGCGTAGCGGCGCTGTGGACTGAATCCTGGTTAGTTTTAATTGGAGTCGGTATTGAAATCGATCGGTACCCTCCGGGCAGGAAACCACTAATTTAATTCTACTTTAAAATGGTCTGCGCAACCTTAAATAGTGCATTAAAATTAAATTTCTAAATCGATTTAAAGTTTTATGTAAAAAGAGAAGACCTACGTTAAATGGAACTGATTATTTGTTAAATGAATAGTAGATATTACGTTTACGATGCGTCACGGTCACGGCGGAGGAGGAGGAGGGAAATTCGTGCGACAGTTGAAATTCGCGGTGCGTTCGCGGTTGCGACCGCGGCCGCGGAAAGCGGACGCAAAAAATCGACATGATTCGTTTGTATGCAAATGTTTTCTTGTAGTCGTTGCGAGCCAACGACTGTCCCATACCTTTATCGGATAAAATGTGCTGCCGCCAGTGGCCCCGTAAACGACGACGAGCGTTACAGAGGTAGCACGGGTATACCATAAAGCGCGCCAACTTACCATGTATATTGCTAAGGTCCTACCTGAATTTCCATTGAATGATCAGTGTGTATCGGACGTGTTTGTGTGTTTTTGTGCCCGGCCCGGCCGTACGAGTTCCTAGCCGCGGGTACAGGAACAGGCCGTGTCGCTTAATGTATTCCTGGCGATAAAACCGCATGCTTAAAATATAGGTCGCTTTCTAGGTCTGTGGCTCTCAGCTACTTTGGTGATAGCCTACTGTCTGCTCCGTCGTATGAACTACGTGGCAACGTCCTATAAACCAGTCACCTATAAGCCTGCGTTCGTACTTTTCACGTCTGCATGGCTAAGCTCGAAGGCGCGATCGTTGCGACGTCAACCACGTTTGTCGCAATCAGAAACATGATCCATGTTCGTCGGTTAAATTCGGAGCCTGCAGTGGGCGTTTGAGCTCTTTGAATATTGGGAAAAAATTTGCAATATCGATTTATTTTTTACTTTATTTGATATTAACATTAAAATCATATTATCACATCATATTCAACATCAACATCATATTTGATATTAACATAAAAATCAACCCGTCAAATTGACGGAATTTCGTAAAAATAGGTATATAACATCTAGATTTAATAAAATATGTGTTCCAGAGAAAACGAGTAGAAATATATATGTTTGCTGTTATATCATTAAAAGCCAATATGTAATGCCTGAAGAATAATATTTGCATGTTCAGAATTTTTAAGCATAAAATCGAAAATCCGTGAAATTAACAGGTTTCGTGAAATGATGAATTCCGTGTTAATAATGAATATAGAAATACAAGTAAATACATGCTAATAGAATATTAAACAACATGAAGATGAAGCAGTACTCATAATTTTCATCCATGTACAAAATTTCCTTATGGATATTATCGAACATCCACAAATCCTACTGGAATGCGTATCCTTGGCAATGAACGAGATCGAAATTAACAGGCACATTATCGTTGGACTCAATTTCTCATGATAGCGATCCGAATCATGCCGCGGGGGAAACCGCCGTTTCGGACGTTTCCCTGATTGGTTTCGATACGCGCGGCCAAATCAAGAGGCAAGTCGTAGTTGCGGCACGAGCTGCCGCAACCAATGATGGTGGAATTTAATAAAGGGAATGATTACGTTTACCGCAAATCAGTATCGAAATGCATCGGACTGACTTTGATGCATCGCGAATACCGCGAACATGCGCTCGTGGCTAAACCACCCCGCACGCCTATCGCCCTCTTTCGTTTTCTCTTTCTCACTCCGGCCGGCTGTGTTCACTGCCTCCCCTAAGATAAGCCAATTTAATTAATCCCCTGAAATACTCCGGGATCGATCGAAATGATAGATCCCCCGGCGTAATTGCACCGAAGAGATACGCGGCGCGACAGCACACCCGGTTGTCATACTTTGACGCGACGCATGATTATATCGGCGCTGGCCGCTTCGCCGAGACAATTATCGAGCCTCTCTTCCACTAGGTCACTCGTACAAAATATGGAAGCTTTCAGAACGTTTCAATTCTTGAAGTTACTAAAACTGCATTTCATTCAAAATCATAATGTGATTAAAAAAATTGCAATAACATCCTAAACTTCTGTACGTGTACTTCAATAATTCTATTGGAACTAAAGCCACGGTTTTCAACCTGGGAGGAGCGGCTCCCAGGGGAGGCGCGAACTATTGCCAGGAGAGCTGCCAAAACTTTTTAATACAAAATTAATGTTCATACCATAACAGCTACAAATAAATAAACTTCATATCGTAGTATAACAGTACAAATTTAGTGAAGTAATGTTCAGTCTCAATTTTATTTTTCTTATGTGTTTTTATACACTCATTTAATTCCTATTAAAAAATTATTCGGAACGGAAGATCTGAAAAATATGCATGTTCGTATAGTTATAGCAAAACCTTGTTATTATTCTGTTAATTGTAGTTCTTAGTATTTTTTGTAATAAAATTATTATTATTTAAAACGTGTCTATATTATTATATTTATTAAAAGATAGGGAGGCGCAGAAAAAGAAACGAAACGCAGCTACAGAATGCTGTTTCTGACGAAGGAAATAAAGATAGAAAATTTCGTTTCTACAAATGATATATTTTGCAATTTTTCATGTAGACTAACAATATAGAAGATCCGTGTTCGAGGATGAAAATACATACACTGCATTTAATGCATACAATATATTCAATGTAATTAAAAAAGCATAATACACATTATTTTCAATGGTTAATAAGAATCTCATGTTTTTAAAATAACAAGATCTCATATTTCAATTATCACGAAAGTTTTATTTTGTATAAAAATGTGCAGTTTACTGATTAGACCCATAGTTTATCAATTGGAGACTAAAAACGAATTAAATTTCATAACGTAGTAGAAAAATAAAATGAGAACGAAGGGAACATGGTAAAATAGGTTGAGGAAGCAGAGCGGTACAAAGCGAAAAGGGATGTATCGCGTGCGTCTGAATATACGGAGGCAGTCGATCGAAAAGGCCCCCCACATGCACAGCTAAGATCCATAGAAAAATGTTACGGA